CACACACACACACACACACACACACACACACAGCACATGTGTGTCTAATATGATGTGTGTTTTCCAGTAATACTAATATCCCCCCCAACACTTAAAAAACACATTTAAATCATATGCACACTTAAACCACACTCTTACAACACAGACTTAAAAAGCACACACAACTAAACAAACACTTAAAACACAGACTGAAAAAATAAAAAACACTAATTGAAAAAAAACACTTACACGCAGACGTAAAAAACACAGAGCGCTTGCTTGTGCGGTTAGAGCGACTGAGCGGAGCGCACGTCCATAGAGCGGAAAACGTAGCGGAGCGTCACACCGCTCCGCTTAGCTCACATGCTCTGCTCAGAACACACACAAGCACTCTATCACACTTGAGAAAACCCAACACATTTTAAACAACAATGACAGAAAATACTGCAACAACTCACCCAGCTGATTGGCACGAGGTTGAAAGTTCAAAGGTCACCCCTCAACCCCTCTGTGTGTGTGTGCGTGTGTGTGTGTGTGTGTGTGTGTGTGTGAGATATGTATAAGCGCAGTGCAGAGCTGCACAAACACACACTGATGTGAATCACAGCCGACCGAATGACAGAATGAGAGAATGAGGAGCGAATGAGAGCAGAGAGGGGCAGTGTGGGCGGAGCCTATAGATGAGTGGGCGGGGCCAGATAAATAACTGCACTGGAGCTGGGGGCGGAGCTAAGTCACAGTCTGATCAGCAAACCTGAAACTGTCTCTCTCTCCTTCAGTCTGATTCCTTTAGCAATCGGATGCAGGAATGATTCAAAACAGAAGAAAGATATTCCGGTTTCTTTTAAGACCAAAACAAGATTATAAAATATGAATACATCAGCTTTTAAAGTGAAGAGAAAACTCTTTTTGATCAAATAATTCTGATACGGTATTGGTCGCAGGTTGATGTCCAATATACAATCTGAGTCCTGCAGAAAAACCAGTGATGCAGAACTATGAGAAAGGTCAAAGGTCACTCATGGTGGCCTGTACGATACATCATAATGCTGTTAAAGATCTCACATCAGAGGATTCTATCTGCTGCATCTGTCTGTCTGTCATTAGCCCGTCTCTCTCTCTCTCTCTCTCTCTCTCTATGTGAGTGAATGGACTCTTTGTCTGTCCATTTCTCCTCTTCCCACTGAAACAGCACAGAGGAATCCTGGGAGCTCGTGAGTGTGTGTGTGTGTGTGTGTGTGTGTGTGCGTGTTTTAGGAAGCAGATCACATCACGCTGTGATTGGTTTTGTGTTGTTTTGGTGGACTGCAGTGAAAGCTTCCTGTGTGATCAGTGCAAACAATATATATGATCAAACCCTTCAGTAAAAACCTTCAGAATATAGAGAGGAATAAAACTCTAAGTTTTGGTGTTTGTAAGTGTTAAACATTTTGGATGCTTTCTCTCCACTAGTCTGAAACAACATGTTAAAAAAATAAATAAAATAGACCAAAATCTCAAAATTGACCAGTGCATGAAAAAGCAATGTTTCTGCCCGTACAAACCCATTGAACGGACTGTAAGTCTGTCCTTCACAGCTTTGAGTTCATTCACAAACAATTTAACCCAACTACAGTTTATACACGTGCTGGACTCACGCACACTAGCTGTTTTGTGATCACACTGACACTTACGTTATTGAGTTCTCTCTGGTTTCCGAACAGCGGGTGATATCGGCGGTATTTCCCCTCGCGGTATTTTGCCGTGATGAAGCGGCGTCGCTCCTCGCTGCTGCTGTTCAGGGTCAAGGCCTCGCTGGGAGGGACGTTTGCCGCCCAAAACTGATTGGCTCGTTCGTTTCCTAGAGCACGGAACAGCTGGGACACGAGGATAGGACTGATGAAGAGGAGTGCAAGGACGTCAAGAACCACAGAAGAAGAAGAAAAATCACATAAACACAAAACACACCTGGATGAGATCATCAGTCCAGACCTTCTTGTCCATTTTGAGACTGCGTACTTTAGATATGCTCTGACCGAGACCGCGATGCTCTCCTATCACAGACAAACACAACCAGACAGCTGCAGAAATAGGGCTGCATGATTTGGTGGGGGAAATTAATTGCAATTTTATGATAAAAATTGCGATTTCAATTTAAAATGATAAAGAAATCCAGGGTTGCTATGCTTATTTGTAAGGCTGCATTTAATAATAATATACTTAGTAATAATAGCAATAACTATATAATTATATATATTTATGCAAAAATTTATAATTATTATTATTATTATTACTACTACTACTAATTAAAAATATAAAAAATTACTAAATAAAACAAGTAATATTACAATGCAATAAAAATGTAGTATTTAATTAAATAACAACAATAATAATAATAATATAGCAGCAAAAATAAATAAATAAGAAATTAATTGTAATATTTTAATGTAATAAATAAATTGAGTATTTAAATAATTATAATAATAATAATAATTTATTTCACGTTACTGTACAGTATTTACTAATATTTATGGTCTTAATTTCTTCATTTTGAAACTGTTTTCTGTTCATTGTTAGTTCATGTTAGCTTAGATGCATTAATTTATATTAACAGATAAAACATTGGGTTTTAATAATGCTTAATAATTTAGGTTAATATGAGCTGAGCTTAAATGCTTTCCAAGTATTATTCATTGTTAGTTCATGTTAACAAATGGAAAGTGTTACCTATGCGCTTCTTATTACAAGTTTAAATGGAAGATGGTTGGCGCATGTTATTGCACAAAAGCTTGTAAAGCAGCTTTCCTCATGATTGGTCGTTACCTGCGCATCGCTTGCAGAAAACCACGGCCAGGTTGATGGCGGCCCACTCAGGTTTGGCAGCGCTGCAGTCGGCACACATCTGATTGGACGGCTCCGTCCAGATGCGCTCAGCCACTTCGTAATTGGACAAGGCCTCTGCGACAGAGTTGCGCATGGCCTCCACCCACTGATCCTTCAGCTGGTCCGTTTCCGCTACAAAACTACAGACACGCAGACTTTTTAAAGGAGACATATTATGCCCCTTTTTACAATATGTAATATAAGTCTCTGGTGTCCCCAGAATGTGAAGTTTCAGCTCAAAATACTGCACAGATAATTTATTATAACATTTTGATTATTTCAGGTTTAGTTTTAGTCATTTTAGAAACTTATATTCATTTTAATTCACTTCTCATTGTAGGTTTTTTTTAGTTACATCTAATAATTATTTTTTATATGCAAGCTTTTTTTGTTTTATTCTGGAGGAATGTGAATAAGTTTCTTCAGATTCACTGAGCAGCACAGAGGAGGAAAACACTCAGCAAACGAGTATAAATATACAAAACCACAACAGATGTGAGAGACGGAGCAAGAACACACACACACACATACACACACACACAGTCACTGTATCACATGCATATATTCTCTCACACACACACAGAGTTATTTCAGCTGACCGGATGAACAGACTCACAGTGACTTGAATAAAATAGATGAAGAGAGCAGAAAAAAGATCAACAGAAAAATGAATGAATGAATGCATGATGGACGGAGAGAAATCTTGAACAGGAAGCTGAGCAGTGATGAATGCATGAATGTGAATGAACAAGTGAACGAGCGAGTGAAAGTCTCACCTGAATATGCGGTACGCTGTGGTCAGATCAAACGCTCTCCGATCCACTTCCTTCACATTACCAACATTCATATTGATCGAGGTGATGCCGATTCCCAGACGATAATCCTACACACACACACACACACACAATGGGCACAATCCTATAAATTACTATGTTTATCATATTTTACTAACATTCCCAATCTATAATGTATACATGATAGTATCTATCATGTCAAGCAATTAAAGTCATAAAAATTTATATAATGTTTTTGTATGAAAGACAGCAAAAGACGTAAAAACGATGTGGAGGCATAAATGTGATCATGAAATGAATCAATGAATCCTTTTATTTGAACTTCGGGGTTATTATAATTAACTAAAACTTGAAATGCAATAATTGTTAACTGAAATTAAATTTAAAAATATCTTATTTCAGCCAAGGCAACACTTCCAATTGTCATTTAGTTTAACTTGTTGTGCTGAAATAACAAAAACTGAAATAAAAATTAATTAAAACATTTTTTTTTCCACTTGTTCACTTGTTGTCTAAATGAGCTGATTCACTGAAATGAATTCGTGAGCAACTGATGCAGCATAAAACTAAGTTACTGGGTTCATCTTTTTCACGTTTCATTGGTTGGTAGATGCACCGGGGACCTGATTATAGCACTTAACACCTGGAGAAGTCAGATTTTCATGATATGTCACCTTTAAGACCTTTTTAAGACCAGGTAAAGAAAATGGAAGGAATAAATGGAAGGGGCCACAAAGAAAGTTAACAATGTAGTGAGTTTATGATTAAAACAAGAACAAATTTCTGTCAATGCGGTCAGGAAAGATATCTTTTCAAAGGGAAAATAAGATTATTTTTCTGACTCCATTGGCAGATATTTGTTCTTGTTTTAATTATAAATTTCTCAGAAAGCAAGACTTCATATCTTCATTTTGCATCTCCAGTAAATCTATCTTGATTTAAGGATATTTAGATATTTGTACTGGAAAACAAGACAGAAATACTTTTTTACAGTACATGGAGCATTTAATGCCTTGACTTTATGAATTTAAGACTTTCTGCTCTGATTTAAGACTTTTTAAGTCCTTAATTTATAGTGAATTAAAACTTTTTAAGAAACTCTAGAATTAATTGATATTTTAAATAAACTTTTATTTTTATATTTTGAGTTCAATTTAATTGTTTAATTGTAATTAAGTTTTAGTAATTTTTTTAATGTTTTTTTATTCCAATTTAATTTTAATTAAAAAAAAAAAATTATTTCAGGTTTAGTTTTAGTCATTTTAGAAACTTATATTCATTTTAATTCACTTCTCATTGTAGGTTTTTTTTAGTTACATCTAATAATTATTTTTTATATGCAAGCTTTTTTTGTTTTATTCTGGAGGAATGTGAATAAGTTTCTTCAGATTCACTGAGCAGCACAGAGGAGGAAAACACTCAGCAAACGAGTATAAATATACAAAACCACAACAGATGTGAGAGACGGAGCAAGAACACACACACACACATACACACACACACAGTCACTGTATCACATGCATATATTCTCTCACACACACACAGAGTTATTTCAGCTGACCGGATGAACAGACTCACAGTGACTTGAATAAAATAGATGAAGAGAGCAGAAAAAAGATCAACAGAAAAATGAATGAATGAATGCATGATGGACGGAGAGAAATCTTGAACAGGAAGCTGAGCAGTGATGAATGCATGAATGTGAATGAACAAGTGAACGAGCGAGTGAAAGTCTCACCTGAATATGCGGTACGCTGTGGTCAGATCAAACGCTCTCCGATCCACTTCCTTCACATTACCAACATTCATATTGATCGAGGTGATGCCGATTCCCAGACGATAATCCTACACACACACACACACACACAATGGGCACAATCCTATAAATTATTATGTTTATCATATTTTACTAACATTCCCAATCTATAATGTATACATGATAGTATCTATCATGTCAAGCAATTAAAGTCATAAAAATTTATATAATGTTTTTGTATGAAAGACAGCAAAAGACGTAAAAACGATGTGGAGGCATAAATGTGATCATGAAATGAATCAATGAATCCTTTTATTTGAACTTCGGGGTTATTATAATTAACTAAAACTTGAAATGCAATAATTGTTAACTGAAATTAAATTTAAAAATATCTTATTTCAGCCAAGGCAACACTTCCAATTGTCATTTAGTTTAACTTGTTGTGCTGAAATAACAAAAACTGAAATAAAAATTAATTAAAACATTTTTTTTTCCACTTGTTCACTTGTTGTCTAAATGAGCTGATTCACTGAAATGAATTCGTGAGCAACTGATGCAGCATTCTGTTGCTATAATAACTCATTACTGTGCAACAAAAGCATTTTTAAGCTCAGCTGTTTATGCTGCTGAAGTCTATTTTACAGTCAGTAGTGCGACTAGAGTTAGTGTTATTTCTAAGAACAGACAGATTGAGGGTTTACCTCGGTGTTTTTGTAGAGGAAGACTTTATCCGCACACACCACCGTGTAGAGTTTGGAGCGCAGGCCGCGCAGCTCCAGGTAACCCTTCATCTCGTAGCTCACGCAGGGGTTAAAGGTCATGTCCAGACTGGTGCGTGCGTGGGACACCCCGACACAGCTCTTCAACACCGTCACCCACTCGCTCCGCTCCACTGACACACACACACACACACACATCAGTCATTTCATCCTTTGATTCTCATTAATTCAGTGCATGTCCTGCATACTGTATCAAAGCGACTGCGTTTATGTTAACACGTGTGATATGTTTAAGTCCTGTGACTGCACTGTTGAAACTGTCTAGCTGAATGTTTGTTTAACTGTGAATATTACTGTCAGATTTAAGAACATGTATCTAATATGCACGCGACAATAGTTTATCGGTGTTATTCAAGCCATCTCTGGTATTTACATAAATAAGTATATTTATAATCCATTGCTAATCAATGTATTCTTTTTAAAGTAGCCTATGGAACACATTTTCTGCCTCGTTCTGTGACAAGAAGCCTCATCAGATCACAGAAGGAAGCATGTGACTGGTGTTGTGGAGTAAAAAGGTTATAATGTTCTCTTGTGTTGGACAACAGGTTTAGAAATGTGAATACAAGGGAGGTTTAGCTTTAGGCTTTTTAATTTAAGCATGTTTAGCTTAGTTAACGGAAGCTGCTGCCGTCAGAGCAAGTGTAATTACTGCATTCACGCGCTCCTCGATGCTCTCGTTTCCCGAGTTCTGCTTTTGAAACAACATGGACACTCTCGTTACTACAAAGATGTGTTGGATTTGTATTATTAGAGCTTTCCGACTTGAGTTCACGTGCATGTTCTCAGTCGGGGAATTATTTTTCACGTGCGGTGCCGGTGATGATGCTTCTTACGTCCGTTTCGGAGAACCAGAGGACAAATATTTCAATCGATCGCTCAGGCATGGCACCGAAATCTGCGTTCGGATTCGGTTCTAGTACATACCGGTTACATAGGTACCGGTGCCATATATGCCTAAATATGCAGTGATTTTCTAAACTGTCGTGGAGCAGCAGCACTGTCTCCCTCATCTAACACACCTGATTCAACTCCTCAGCTCATTATAGAGACTTTAAGAGCTGAAGAGTTATGAGAAACCACGAAGCGTGTCAGATCCGCGTCACGTTCAGCAGCAGCAGCTCTTAAAGCAGCCAAAATAACCTGATAACAGCTGCTGTGATGCTGTTCATCAAAGAACAAAAGAAAAAGAGGAAACCAATAACTGTTGTAGCTTTAAGGATTCATCTGTATTTAATTTAGAATTTAGTGTTTGATAACTGTATATTTAATTTAGGCAGAGGTAGCTAAATATGACATTTATTATAATGGGTTTATGTGAAGATTGTTTTAAGTTCACTTAACCCTTGTGCATCACTTAAAAAAAGTTACACATAGGTCCATAGTGGACAAAAATGTCCACGTCAAAAAACTGTCATAAAAATTTGGGAGCACAGCGTTAAGTTTGGTCTCATTTTAAAGAAGACCCATGACAGATTATTGTTGAAGTAAAAAAACTTTAAAAAGTGAAACCAAAAATAAAGTTATAGAGGTTTAAGTTTATGAAAATGATTTATGAACGATATTTTATATAAAATATATATTTTATGAAACATGTTGAACTCTATACCTGCTAGAATCGGGAGGTTTAGCTTTAGGCTTTTTAATTTAAGCATGTTTAGCTTAGTTAACGGAAGCTGCTGCCGTCAGAGCAAGTGTAATTACTGCATTCACGCGCTCCTCGATGCTCTCGTTTCCCGAGTTCTGCTTTTGAAACAACATGGACACTCTCGTTACTACAAAGATGTGTTGGATTTGTATTATTAGAGCTTTCCGACTTGAGTTCACGTGCATGTTCTCAGTCGGGGAATTATTTTTCACGTGCGGTGCCGGTGATGATGCTTCTTACGTCCGTTTCGGAGAACCAGAGGACAAATATTTCAATCGATCGCTCAGGCACGGCACCGAAATCTGCGTTCGGATTCGGTTCTAGTACATACCGGTTACATAGGTACCGGTGCCATATATGCCTAAATATGCAGTGATTTTCTAAACTGTCGTGGAGCAGCAGCACTGTCTCCCTCATCTAACACACCTGATTCAACTCCTCAGCTCATTATAGAGACTTTAAGAGCTGAAGAGTTATGAGAAACCACGAAGCGTGTCAGATCCGCGTCACGTTCAGCAGCAGCAGCTCTTAAAGCAGCCAAAATAACCTGATAACAGCTGCTGTGATGCTGTTCATCAAAGAACAAAAGAAAAAGAGGAAACCAATAACTGTTGTAGCTTTAAGGATTCATCTGTATTTAATTTAGAATTTAGTGTTTGATAACTGTATATTTAATTTAGGCAGAGGTAGCTAAATATGACATTTATTATAATGGGTTTATGTGAAGATTGTTTTAAGTTCACTTAACCCTTGTGCATCACTTAAAAAAAGTTACACATAGGTCCATAGTGGACAAAAATGTCCACGTCAAAAAACTGTCATAAAAATTTGGGAGCACAGCGTTAAGTTTGGTCTCATTTTAAAGAAGACCCATGACAGATTATTGTTGAAGTAAAAAAACTTTAAAAAGTGAAACCAAAAATAAAGTTATAGAGGTTTAAGTTTATGAAAATGATTTATGAACGATATTTTATATAAAATATATATTTTATGAAACATGTTGAACTCTATACCTGCTAGAATCTAAACAAGTTGTGTTCCAAATTTGAGGTTGATATCTCAAAAAATGAGCTTTCAGTAAGATTTTGTGTGGGCGCAGTACCAAATTTTCCCCAGTAGATGCCAGCAAAACTCCGCTGGTGCACACAGTGGTTGGATTTGTGATTTGCAGTAGAGTTTTTCCTCTCTTAAATATTACAAGAACACACAAACCACACTCTGACATCCATACCAACACACCCACACAATTATAGCTGCATTATTTATCCAATTGGCTCTATAATATGCAGAACCAAAAAACAGGAATAAAGCGAGTATTTGCTTTATAAGCCAAACTTGAAAAAATGGCACCATCTGGTAAAAAAATAGTAAAAAATAAAAGTTTAAAGCCTTGCCAACAGAATGAAAGCCTATTAACAAAAATTGCATCATTTTACAGTTAAATGGCACTGCGATTAAAAATAGGTAAAAATAGGACGTAAGGTCCTGAGAGAAACCATTTTTTGTACCAAGTGCAAAACAAATTTATTAAAGGAAATTGAAGTGAAATAGTAAAATTCCAATAAAAATACACATATGTGCCAAAATTTATGCAGTTGGCAATAACACAGGCAAAATTATCAAAAAAACTAAACTGAAAAGGACAAAAATGTCCAAAAGGTCACACAAGGGTTAAATAAGAAGTTATTTTAAAGTCTAATAAATGTTAAAATTGACAGCTCTCAATTATACTGTAATGTTGAATGCTAGTCAATGGTTAAATATTCATAGAGACATCAGTAGTATTGGTATCAGTGATACTCGCCTTCAGTCATAAAAAAACTAATATTAAACTAATATGTCTTTATGTTGTTTCTGCATTAATTTGAAGATTGAATGTAAAATTATTGCAATATAAAAGTATATTTAAAAACTTTAATGTTTAATCACGATTAATTAGTAAATTTTTTCATCAACTGACAGCACTATTTTACACACACACACATATATATATATCATTATATATCATATATATATTATATAATCATTTTATAATAAACATTTTAAATAAATTAAAAAAAATGTAATCATAATAATTAAAAATAAAAACAAACAAAATAAACACTTATACATTAAATATTGTTAGTATTATTATATTATTTATAACTTATATTTTACCATTATTTAAAAGTACAAATTTAATCAAATTCAATATTTTATTTGTTTACTCTTTGTGTGTGTGTGTGTGTGTGTGTGTGTGAGTGTGTGTGTGTGTCTCTGTGAGAGTGTGTGTGTGTGAGAGTGTGTGTGTGTGTGTGTGTGTGTTCTGAATCTGGAAGACACGACTGACATGATGCCTCTTCACAGAATCATGTGGAAGACCAAATCAAACTCAAGATTTAGAAATAAAAAAAGACAGATTTGTATATTAGTCTCAGATTAAACCATAAACCATTCCATTTCACTCAGGAACGGCGAATACATTTCACAATTGTGCAGAACGACTGAAATATTTAAAAACGTGTACATCGTGCATGCAGCTTCTGATGTGTTTTATGCTTATGGCTGGGAATTCTGATTCAGTTTAGGGAATCAGTTCGTTCAAATGAGTCATATAAAAGAACCGGTTCAAAAAATTAAATCTTGAGATGTTCAAAAGTCAGTGTGAAAACAAAACACGCACGCACCCCTGAGGAGGATTCTTGTCCAGCCAGCCCACTTTAATAACTGGGACGCTGGTGGAGTCGAGGTCTTCCCGAGGCGGCGGAGCACTAACGTGGCCTGTGTTTGGCAGGTAGATGCTGTTCTGAGAGCCGGAGATCGAACCCAAATCTTCGATCCATGAACCCCGTCTGAGAGAGAGCACCAAAAGAGAGAAGTGTTACATTATCACATTGCAACATGACATGAATTTCTCCTATTACCAAATCAGCGACAACTAACTAAACTGAACTGTACAATAACAATTCAGGAACGTACACATTTGCGTAATCGCTGTCAGCAGAAAAATAAAAGTGACTCACTTCTCGGACACTGACTCGTAACAGTTGGTTTCATCATCTAGTAGCTCGTCGTCGCTGCACAGGCTGCTGTAACGGGGTTTCGTTACCTTGGGAACCATCAAGGACATCTATTGGAGGAAGCAGCTGTCAATCATACAGCGTCTGTCGCTATTGGACAGTTCTGATGTGTTGGGAATAAAACAGCGTGTGAAAGGCTCTTGACGCACCTTGCTGGCCATATCTATGTGTTTAGCGTCTCTGCTGGGCTCACGCTCGTCATATTCATCTGAACTTTCATCCGAGTCCAACTCTACAGGGAGTCATGATGGACAGAATGAGGGAAAACAGTGAGAGATACTGAGAAACAGATAAATTTCAGTGCAACCTTTCTGTATCCCACAATGCAATGCGAGAGACTCGACCTTCCAAATGCTGTTTGATGGATGAACTGGAAGAAAAAGCTGATTTTTAACATCTTATTGACTCGTTATTCGATAAGACTGTCAAAAATAAGACACTTTTACACTAAATTGTGTTAAAAATGCAAAATTGCATATTAGGACCAAATGTAGCTTTATTTTCCTAAAAAAGAGTCACAGTCTGATTGGAGCTTGCAATTCTGACCAGACTGTTTCTTCAAAGCTGTTTCTTCTATTGCATGTTTTAGCAATATGAATCTAGCTATTAGAAAAAATAAATGATAATGATAATGAGACTATAGTAAGTGCCGATATACAGTAAAAGAAGGCACTGAGAAACAGGTTGGGTTGGTGTAAGACAGCGCTGATAAGCAGGATGTTTGCGCTCCGAACGTGATCGTCTCATCTGGAAACTCTAAACGCCGCTAAAGGCAAACTCAAACTCAAAAAAGATCTTGTTTACATCAAAACTGAAACCAAGCCGTTCACACAGAACGCATATTTCACGCATTTTCTAGACCAGTGATGGGCTAACTTGGCCCTTCCAGGCCACTTTCCTGCAGAGATTTGATCCAACTCTGATAAAACTCACCTGCCTGTAGCCTTCTAGTAGTCTTGAAGACAATGATTAGCTGGTTCAGGTGTGTTTGATTAGGGTTGGAGCTAAACTCTGAAGGAAAGTGGCTTGGAAGGGCCAAGTTTGTCCACCCCTGTTCTAGACAGACTTGCAATTACAAGGCTGTTTCTAGGCTGTTCTGGGTGTTTGCAGGCAGTTGTTAGAGTCTTCTCAGCATTGCTGACCGGTTACAAAGTGTTATAGATGGTTATCAGTACACTGACCCAAGAGCCCATTCTTCTTCGGCCTTTATTCACCGCCGTGTGGAGCACTTTTTATGATGGATGGATGCGCTTTATTGGACTTCTTTTGGACTATTAAAAAATAACACCCATTCACTGCCATTATAAATCTTGGAAGAGCCAGGACGTTTTTAAATACAACTCTGATTGGATTCGACTGAAAGAAGAAAGTCATATACACCTAGGATGGGCTTGAGGGCGAGTAAATCATGGGGTAATTTTCATTTTTGGGTGAACTATCCCTTTAAAGTCACGTTATTAAAGTTACGCCGGTTCCTTCTTCCCCGAGTTTTGACCTTTGTTACATTTACATTTTCCTTAAATCATCCTGGCGACCCGAGGGTTTGAAAACCACTGCTCTAGAAAGCCCCGCTCCCTGAATCCTAGGCTGTCAATCATGTTCACAGATAAGACGCAAACTAAAGCCTATTGGCTATTTTAAAAAAGTGGAACAAGGTCTTTGAAATGTCAACTTCTTGTTTCAACGAAGCATGAAAGAAACCGGCACCTGTCACAAACACACATCATGCTTTTGTGCCTGGTATTATGGTTATGGTGGTTTGTCACGCTAGAGTAACTGCTGATGAGGTTAAAGTCATGACATACTTTCTTTAGCATGCAGAGCAAACGGTAAACTCACTGTTTCTGAGCGGCGGCGGCAGCGGTGGGACGTCTCTCTTTGAGCTCTCGTTTGGAGGTCTGATCATTCGAAGCGGGACGTCTGGGACTCGATCCGTGCTGGGTGGATCATCTGCAGGAGAGCTGGAGGAGCAGACAGAGGAAGCTTCGTCATTACTCGGCTCACAGGACAGTCTGCTGAAGAGAGCGTCAGTCAGAGGATTCAACGCTAGCGGCAGACAGAGAGGAGCTTTATTCTGACTCTGAGAGAGAGATCAGGTTCGTGTCGCTGTACGTCTGTGAGTTCAGAAGCACCTGACGCAACAGGTTCCATGAGAGCTGATAGTGATCGACTAACACACCTGTACTGAGTCACTGCTTAACTTAAGTCAACATAAAATTGCAATGGACTTGACCTCATGTTTCTGCTCTTATTGCACATGATCTCTTTTCAAACAATTCTATGTGTATATTACATCATATCCATTCATCCATGTTAGCATGATAACTATAGGATTAACAAGAACAACAAAGTGTAAGCTGCTCAAGGAAATCATTATTAAATACAAGTTGTGCAATGCTTAATCAATCATTATTTTCATTATTTTACAATTGGTCAAAAGTTTAGAAAAAGAGAAACAACAAATAAGATGTTTTAATATTGTTGAAAGAAGTATCTTCTGCTCACCAAGGCTGCATTTAATTGTATCAAATATACAGTAAAAAAATAGTATAATATTATTAGAATGTAAAACAGCTGTTTTCTGTGTGAATCTCTGTTAAACTGTAATGTATTTCTGTGATGCGCAGCTGTATTTTCAGCATCATTCCTCCAGTCTTCAGTGTCACATGATCTTCAGAAATCAGTATAATATGCTGATCTGCTGCTCCAGAAACATTTCTGATTATTATCAATGTTGAACACAGTTGTGCTGCACAATATTTTTGTGGAAACTGTGATGCATTTTATTTTTCAGGATTCACAGATGAACAGAAAGTTCAGAAGAACAGCATTTATTTGAAATAATCACATTGCAACATGACATGAATTTCTCCTATTACCAAATCAGCGACAACTAACTAAACTGAACTGTACAATAACAATTCAGGAACGTACACATTTGCGTAATCGCTGTCAGCAGAAAAATAAAAGTGACTCACTTCTCGGACACTGACTCGTAACAGTTGGTTTCATCATCTAGTAGCTCGTCGTCGCTGCACAGGCTGCTGTAACGGGGTTTCGTTACCTTGGGAACCATCAAGGACATCTATTGGAGGAAGCAGCTGTCAATCATACAGCGTCTGTCGCTATTGGACAGTTCTGATGTGTTGGGAATAAAACAGCGTGTGAAAGGCTCTTGACGCACCTTGCTGGCCATATCTATGTGTTTAGCGTCTCTGCTGGGCTCACGCTCGTCATATTCATCTGAACTTTCATCCGAGTCCAACTCTACAGGGAGTCATGATGGACAGAATGAGGGAAAACAGTGAGAGATACTGAGAAACAGATAAATTTCAGTGCAACCTTTCTGTATCCCACAATGCAATGCGAGAGACTCGACCTTCCAAATGCTGTTTGATGGATGAACTGGAAGAAAAAGCTGATTTTTAACATCTTATTGACTCGTTATTCGATAAGACTGTCAAAAATAAGACACTTTTACACTAAATTGTGTTAAAAATGCAAAATTGCATATTAGGACCAAATGTAGCTTTATTTTCCTAAAAAAGAGTCACAGTCTGATTGGAGCTTGCAATTCTGACCAGACTGTTTCTTCAAAGCTGTTTCTTCTATTGCATGTTTTAGCAATATGAATCTAGCTATTAGAAAAAATAAATGATAATGATAATGAGACTATAGTAAGTGCCGATATACAGTAAAAGAAGGCACTGAGAAACAGGTTGGGTTGGTGTAAGACAGCGCTGATAAGCAGGATGTTTGCGCTCCGAACGTGATCGTCTCATCTGGAAACTCTAAACGCCGCTAAAGGCAAACTCAAACTCAAAAAAGATCTTGTTTACATCAAAACTGAAACCAAGCCGTTCACACAGAACGCATATTTCACGCATTTTCTAGACCAGTGATGGGCTAACTTGGCCCTTCCAGGCCACTTTCCTGCAGAGATTTGATCCAACTCTGATAAAACTCACCTGCCTGTAGCCTTCTAGTAGTCTTGAAGACAATGATTAGCTGGTTCAGGTGTGTTTGATTAGGGTTGGAGCTAAACTCTGAAGGAAAGTGGCTTGGAAGGGCCAAGTTTGTCCACCCCTGTTCTAGACAGACTTGCAATTACAAGGCTGTTTCTAGGCTGTTCTGGGTGTTTGCAGGCAGTTGTTAGAGTCTTCTCAGCATTGCTGACCGGTTACAAAGTGTTATAGATGGTTATCAGTACACTGACCCAAGAGCCCATTCTTCTTCGGCCTTTATTCACCGCCGTGTGGAGCACTTTTTATGATGGATGGATGCGCTTTATTGGACTTCTTTTGGACTATTAAAAAATAACACCCATTCACTGCCATTATAAATCTTGGAAGAGCCAGGACGTTTTTAAATACAACTCTGATTGGATTCGACTGAAAGAAGAAAGTCATATACACCTAGGATGGGCTTGAGGGCGAGTAAATCATGGGGTAATTTTCATTTTTGGGTGAACTATCCCTTTAAAGTCACGTTATTAAAGTTACGCCGGTTCCTTCTTCCCCGAGTTTTGACCTTTGTTACATTTACATTTTCCTTAAATCATCCTGGCGACCCGAGGGTTTGAAAACCACTGCTCTAGAAAGCCCCGCTCCCTGAATCCTAGGCTGTCAATCATGTTCACAGATAAGACGCAAACTAAAGCCTATTGGCTATTTTAAAAAAGTGGAACAAGGTCTTTGAAATGTCAACTTCTTGTTTCAACGAAGCATGAAAGAAACCGGCACCTGTCACAAACACACATCATGCTTTTGTGCCTGGTTATGGTGGTATGGTGGTTTGTCACGCTAGAGTAACTGCTGATGAGGTTAAAGTCATGACATACTTTCTTTAGCATGCAGGTCTACTCACGACATACTTTCTTTAGCATGCAGAGCAAACGGTCTACTCACTGTTTCTGAGCGGCGGCGGCAGCGGGACGTCTCTCTTTGAGCTCTCGTTTGGAGGTCTGATCATTCGAAGCGGGACGTCTGGGACTCGATCCGTGCTGGGTGGATCATCTGCAGGAGAGCTGGAGGAGCAGACAGAGGTCATTACTCCATTACTCGGCTCACAGGACAGTCTGCTGAAGAGAGCGTCAGTCAGAGGATTCAACGCTAGCGGCAGACACTTTATTCTGTTATTCTGACTCTGAGAGAGAGATCAGGTTCGTGTCGCTGTACGTCTGTGAGTTCAGAAGCACCTGACGCAACAGGTTCCATGAGAGCTGATAGTGATCGACTAACACACCTGTACTGAGTCACTGCTTAACTTAAGTCAACATAAAATTGCAATGGACTTGACCTCATGTTTCTGCTCTTATTGCACATGATCTCTTTTCAAACAATTCTATGTGTATATTACATCATATCCATTCATCCATGTTAGCATGATAACTATAGGATTAACAAGAACAACAAAGTGTAAGCTGCTCAAGGAAATCATTATTAAATACAAGTTGTGCAATGCTTAATCATTATTTTCATTATTTTACTATTGGTCAAAAGTTTAGAAAAAGAGAAACAACAAATAAGATGTTTTAATATTGTTGAAAGAAGTATCTTCTGCTCACCAAGGCTGCATTTAATTGTATCAAATATACAGTAAAAAAATAGTATAATATTATTAGAATGTAAAACAGCTGTTTTCTGTGTGAATCTCTGTTAAACTGTAATGTATTTCTGTGATGCGCAGCTGTATTTTCAGCATCATTCCTCCAGTCTTCAGTGTCACATGATCTTCAGAAATCAGTATAATATGCTGATTTGCTGCTCGAGAAACATTTCTGATTATTATCAATGTTGAACACAGTTGTGCTGCACAATATTTTTGTGGAAACTGTGATGCATTTTATTTTTCAGGATTCACAGATGAACAGAAAGTTCAGAAGAACAGCATTTATTTGAAATAGAAATCTTCTGTAACATTATAAATGTCTTTACGGTCACTTTTGATCACTTTAATGCGTCCTCGATAAATAAAAGTAGGGCTGGACGATATGGCCAAAATTGATAATGATATATTTCTTAATTTCGGTCAATATGATATAATTCCGATATCGATATGAACACTATTTATCTGAAATAGAAATCTTTTGTAACATTATAAATGCCTTTATCATCACTTTTGATACATTTTAAGCATCCTTGCTAAATAAAAGTATTAATTTCTATAATTTCTTTCCCCAAAAAATAATACAAATTATACTAAAAGGAATAGTGTATAATGTCACAAAAGCTTTTTATTTCAGATAAATGCTGATCTTTGGATCTTTCTATTCATCAAAGAATCCTGAAAAAAATTTACTGAACTGTTTTAAATATTGATAATCAGCAGATCAGCATATTATACTGATTTCTGAAGATCATGTGACACTGAAGACTGGAGGAATGATGCTGAAAATACAGCTGCGCATCTCAGAAATACATTACAGTTTAACAGAGATTCACACAGAAAACAGATATTTGAAATTCTAATAATATTTCACTATTTTTACTGGTTTTATTGTATTTTTGATCAAATAAATCCAGCCTTAGTGAGCAGAAGAGACTTCTTTCAAAAACATTAAAATTTTTGGCCAGTAGTATATTTGTTTGATAAACGTGTTCTAAATTCTAAACACAGCAGACAGTAAATGAGCTTTAAGTCTTACAGCAGTAAAAGAGATTCTGCAGTGTTTTCTCACACAACAAACTCTGTGTAATGTGAAGAAAGGGTGAATTGGGCCACGTTTCGACTGCTGTCTGACATTCACCCGACATTTAGAGAGAACACAGGAATTCCCAGGTTTATGTCAGCACTTGAACAGCATTTGTTGAACATTTATCAGACTAGAAACACATTTCCTGATGTGTGTTAAAGATCATGCCCATATGGACGGTCAAACAATAGTGTTTCCTGTGACCAGCGGAACAACTGACCATCAGTTTTAAAAACCAAAAGATCTGCTAAATACTGAGTTATGAATGAAGCCTTCACTAGCGCTTCAGCTCTGTAACATCAACCCTGTAACACACGC